TTTCCGACCTAACCTTTTTATGCTTTTCGAGCCGTACTTCGATTCATTTTTCAGAAAGCACCTTTCTTTAGATCTGCTCATTTTTGATCGGTTCTATGTAATTTTTTTCGCCCATAACCGGCTTTCAGCTTTACCCTTGACTATTTAGATACCTCTGTTCAGATCAGATTCTTTCAAAAATTTGTTTGATTCCAACCCAAGTTTGAAATTGGAAGTATCTGGTCTATGACTTCTTTTGAAGTCGTCTGAGAGTAGAAATGAAGTCGGCACAGATACTGCCAAGTGTCCTAATCTTGGCATTAGTATTTATATTTTTTTACCTATTTTTTTTTCAGTCAGTCATTTATTTCGTTGTTTAGTCACATATATTATCGACTGAGCTGGATGCAAGAGCTTCTCAAACTTCATCGAACTGGAAGTCCAAATTTGTAGTCGAAGAATAGGATAGAATTGTCTGACGGTTCCTCGTTTCACGCGCGAAGCTCGTGCTTTAGGTGAAATTTTTGAAATGAAAGATATCACTTCTAATGAAGAGTTTTAAAAGAAGAGCTGATCTTTAGGCCTTCTCAAACCTTTTCTAAGAACAGAACTTACAGTTCATTTTTCAAAACTGTTCTAAAAGCTCATAATTTATAGTTCAATCTCAGTTTTTTTTTTCTCTAGTTAGAACTTTTTGAAATTATTGCCAAGTTTTTTTTGTTTTCTGTAAATTGTCAGATGGCGATTCGACTGTCCATTTCTGAGCGTTTTTCGAGATCGACGGTGACAGTCATTTGAGAATAGCTTCGCGAGATTTTCCTAATAAAAAAGCTTGACTAAAACTAGTTCTCAGTCGTTGCGTACATAGAACTATTCAGAATGCAAAAAAATCGGCTATCGGCTATCGGCTTTGAATTTTGAATTTTTTTTTTCAGTTTTCCACTTCGAAATTCATTCAGAGTTCAGAGTGTTTCGCGAAACAAGATTTGCAGACGGTCACGCGGAAGAAGAGTCTCAAGCAGAATTCAGGCATTTGAGCACCCATCAAGCTGTTCTACCGAACTTCACTGGTTTCTTCCGAAGCAGGCGAAAAAAAAATTAAAGCCCAATTTCATTGACTTTATCAATTGAGATTCTCCGAAAAAGGCTGTATTAAGGGGTCTCGAAAGGTCTCAGAAACTCTGGAAGCTCTCTGAAAATCCCTTGATAGCCTTTTTGAAATCATGAGGATAAAAAGAAAGAAAGTTTTTCAAATTAAAAAAATTTAAATTTACAGTCGTTATGACACGGTAATATTTTTTTGCCAAAATAATATGCAATATTCATGAATCTTGATAGAGAAATCAAATAAAACATTTAATTGACGAAAAATCGATAATAAATTTTTTTGGGCCTAAAAATGTTTCTTGAAACGATGTGAAACCTGCGTATAAATGTGATAAAAAAATGAGCATAACAAAAATACTAATATCAAGAAATAATTGATGAAACTATAAAGAAAAACACAAGAATTGAAAAAAAGAAACATTGAAGAAAAAAACAACTAAAAAAATTAATTTAAGCAGGCGCCTAGAGTTTTGGCGCGCTGTCTCATCGCTTTGGGACCCTATGTTCCCGTACACTTGGATAATTGCCAGTTTTCGAAAATTTTGTCTTTCCATCGCCAGAAATAAGCTTTTGGCGTGTTTTTCTGCTCTTCTTTGCTTTTATCATTTTGACTTACATTATGGGTTTTTTTCTTTCTACAATGAAATTACTTAAAATTATCGACGCTGAATCTCCATTAAAAAAAAAATCTGGCCTAAAATTTGGATGATTTAGCTTTGTATTTTATATATTTTTTTTATTCAGATATTCTAACCACTGATGTTCTACAATGAGAAAAATTGATGTTTTAAAATTTTTATCAAAGTTTTTTTTTTCACTTGTTCCCAAAAAAAATATTTTAGGCCCAAAAGTTAAATTTTTCGCATCAATTTTTCATGTCAATCAAGCTTTTCAAAGTTTGAATAATCATATCGGGAAAAGGAGTGTCGTGTCTTTATACCGCTTTCGAAGTGATTCCAGCGAAAAGACCGTCAAAAAGAAGAAAAAAACGAAGGTTTTGGAGAGCCAGAGATCTTTTTGAAATGTTTTTTTATTCGGAGGATTTTTATCGCACTTCTTGTCACTCGTTCTCAAGACTGAAGAAAATTATATCAATGGTTTTCGAGAAAGCTTTCAGAGTCTTTGGGACCTCCTCAGACCCTTTAATACAGTCTTTTTCCTTTTTCGTTTTTTTAAAAAACTTCGATCTCTTAGTGCTCCAGTTTTTTTCAATGTTAATCGGAAGTTCTCAATTGATAAAGTCAATGAGCTTGGGCTTTGATTTTTTTTTTTTCGTTTCGCATGTTTCGGATGAAACTACTGAAGTTCGAAAGAAAACAGCTTGATGGGTTCTCGGATGGGTGAATTCTGCTTGAGTGTCCTCTTCTGCGTGACCGTTTGCAAATACTGTTTCGCAACACACTTTGAACTCTGAATGTATTTCGAAGTGGTTCTTAGACTGTGTAACCATCTGAAAAAAAGATAAGATTTCTTCTGGAGACGCGTTTTTGAATTATTGGAAAAATTTAAAAAAATTAAAAAAATAAATGAATTTCCTACTAATAAGCCGTTAGCTGATTTTTCTGAATAGTTCTATGTATGCAACGACTGAGAACTAGTTTTAGTCAAGCTCATTTATTAGGTAATGCCGTGTTCAAAGTGATTCCGCGAAATTCAAAATAGCCGTCAGAGAAAGAGAAAGATAACTAAATTTTGGAGGGTCAGAGACAATTTCGCATTTCGCGGAAATTACTTTGAACACGGCATAAATCTCGCTGAGCTATTTTCAAATGACTATCGCCCGCGCTAATGCGAAACCTGTTCAGAAATTGACAGTAGAAAAATATCTGACAATATACAGAAAAAAAACTTAGCAATTATTTCATAAATTTCCAGCCAGGAAAAAACCTGAGATTAATCTACAAACTATAAGTTTGGGATTTGACCTAGAACACGATCTCCTTGCTTTTTAAAAAGTGAGCTCGTCATAGCGCAACAGGATGAACTATGATCAGAAGGAGGACCGTCAGACAATGCTTTTAACTCTTTGGACTACAAATTTGGACATCAAATTCGCCTGAGACGATTTTGAATGGGGCTTCAAAAGCTCTTGCACACAGCTCAGTCGATAATATCTGTGACTAAAACTATAAAATGATTGACTGACTGAGAAAAAATAATCAAAAAAATTTAGAAAATCTGAAAATTCATGCCAAGATTAGGACACTTGGCAGTATCTGTGCCGACTTCATTTCTACGCTCACACAGGATCTACATATCGTTCAGAAAAATGAGCTCGATCGGAGACTATGAAATTTTCGACATTTGAGGGTCCATAACTTTTTTCACAGACTCCGGTGGCAGCTTTTGAGACCGGATTTGAAATCAGCATGAAAAACTACACCTGGAAAACATGGTCTCATTCAGAAGTCCCACTATGAGCTGATAGCATCTCTTCGTCAGACGACTTCAAAAGAAGTCATAGACCAGATACTTCCAATTTCAAACTTGGGTTGGAATCAAACAAATTTTTGAAAGAATCTGATCTGAACAGAGGTATCTAAATAGTCAAGTGTAAAGCTGAAAGCCGGTTATGGGCGAAAAAAATTACATAGAACCGATCAAAAATGAGCAGATCTAAAGAAAGGTGCTTTCTGAAAAATGAATCGAAGTACGGCTCGAAAAGCATAAAAAGGTTAGGTCGGAAAGTTATATAACGATTCGGAAAATGATGGAGCGCTAGACTTCATATTCTCGGTCTCTTAGGATGCGAGAAACGCAAACCGATTACCATGAACATCTACATAAAATACCGACATTTGGTTCGGCGAATCATAAAAACTTTTGGTTCTGGTAAGCATGAGGTGGTTCGTCTAATCATTGGTTCGCCTAAGCATTGGTTCGGATTTTGGTTCGGAAAATCATGGTTCGGAAAATAATCGGCCAAAATTAAGTGGTCACTTTAGGGGTCAATGGATCAACATAACTGGTCCAATCTGTTCTTTTTAAAAATAACAGAGTTACTGGAAGGAATACTGGATGAAAAACTACTGAAGTGGCCACTAAAATGGAAAATAATGGCCACTATAGAGGTGGGTTTAGTGGCCACTTTAGTGTCCTCTTCAAGAAGTCCTTGGCGAGCCTCTATAGTGGCCACTTAAGATTATCCCAGAAACAGCAGAAAAAAGGTGAAAAAAACTTTTGACAGCCGTCTGGACTTTACCCATGTTTCGTTCCAAAAATTATCAAAACTCACATTTTTGAAATTCGAAAAATCTTTGAACTCGGGGGGAAAAAGAAGAGAAAAAAGTGACGCAAAAGAAGGAAAAGAATGGTTCCGAAAGGTCTTTCGCCGCTAGGATTAGTGCTGGGAACAAAATGACAATCCGAGAAAAGAAAAAAATGAACGTCATCGTCTGGTAATTGTCATTGGCTTGACAAATTTCATGGGAAAAAAAAAATTGATTTCAAAATTTTTTTTTCAATTTTTAAATTTTAAAATAAAAATCTAGCAGTTTGCGGGGGTTGAATAATGATGGAAATACGATTATTTTTCCAAAAAAAAAAGGTTTCCTTTTTGAAAAAAATGCTCGACAAGGGGCTCTTTTTGATGCCTTTTAGCGGCCTTTTCGCAGCCCTTTTTTTCAGCCTTTTTGCGGTCTTTTTTGAGCCTCTCCCTTCCAGCGGCCATTAGCCACAGTTTTGACTTTTGCCCGAGAAAAAAAGAGAACTAAAAATTAATTTTAATCATTTTAAATTCTCAAAAAAATACATCGAAAAATAGCCTTTCTTTTTCGGATAAAGTTCTGTATGAAATGAAAAACGAGAAAAAAAGATTATTCAAAACGTCCAATTTAAATGATTAAAAAAAGCGTAACGTCGATTTCAAAACGAGCCATTTCCTCCAAAAAAATCGGACCCTCAAAAGGCTTCAAATGTTTCTCCGCGTGGGTTTCTGTTGCTCTTTTTTTAAAAAAAAATAAGTTAAATTTTTTTAAATACAAAACGGAGTTTTGCATTGTTTCTATTCATAAAATGAGCATCTATAATTTCAAAAATAAAACTAGAGAATAATAAAAATCCTAGTTTGTCATCAAAAAAATTGAAGCTCATAGAAAAAATCTTCATGACGATACGTTTCAAGGAAAAAGTACATAACAATCAAAAGTCGCCAAGGTAATTATTTAATTAATTAATTACCTGGCGTAACATGTGTAATATGTCTAGAGATTGAAAAAGTAAGTGATTGAATTAGTTGAACATCTATTCCACGAAGCAGTTACAATTAAAAAGAAAATGTCGCAAAAATCAAGAAAAAAAAAACCTTGTTCCTGGTTGAAAAGTTCCCAATCCTTGGTTAAATTGAACGTTAGTTTGGAAGAGATTGATCGAATTCAAGAAAAAAAGCTTCGAAAAGCGAAAAAATTAAACAAAAATTCGAAAAAATGAGGCGCGCCAAATAATTGGCGTAAGTTATGATGTTTTGTGCATACACCATGACGCGAGATTGAATGCTTCAAAAATTTGAAAAAATTCTGAAAAAAAAGCTTTTGAACTAGTTTTCCAGTTGATTCCTGGTTCAAAAACTTCCTCTTTATTATCTCGTCGTGATGAAATTCATTAAAAGCACAATGATGACGGAAAAATGATCAAACTTTAATGACGGCCCCAAGAGGACGTAAATTGCTGAGTCAATTGCGCTATTTCTGGCTTTTCGCTTAATTTTCGTGTCGAAAAAAGAGTGTAAAAACGTAAAATTAGAAGGTTCTGGGCATATGTGTTGAATCAGAGGGGAATTCAAAGCAGATTTGTTGGGGATTTCGGGGGAATCCGCCAGGAAGTGGATTTTTTGATGGATTCCGAGGATTTTATTGATAATTTGATGTAGTTTTAAGGATGATATGTCAAGTAAGAGAATTATTATCATGTGAAAAAAATATACAAAAAAACCTTGAGAATTAGGTCAAAAAGTGCATGGAAGTCGGGTGAAGTCGGAATGGGGAATAATCGCCGAAAAAGGCTCGAAAAAGGCTCGAAAAAGGCCGCAAAATGCCGCAAAAAGGTTGCAGACAGGCAGAAAAAAGGCTCGAAAAAGGCTCAAAAAAGGCCGCAAAAAGGCTCAAAAAAGGCCGCAAAAAGGCCCCAGAAAGGTCGCAGAAAGGTCGCAGAAAGGTCGCAGAAAGGCCGCAAAAAGGCCGCAAAAAAGTCGTTTCCATTATTCTGGGGTTTGAAAGGCTCAAGATATGGTGGAAAAAGGGAGAGGCAGCAAAAAGGGTGCAAAACAGCCGATGAAATGGCGCAAAAAGGGTAGCAAAAAGGAAGCTTTTTCCACCCTTTTTCGTGCTTTTTTAAGCTTCCAGGTGCTTATTAGTCTTTTCTATTATGCTTGAAAAATCAAAATATTCGCGTTAGAGCGCGAAGAAGCTTTAAAAATGGCTTTTCTCTATTTTTTCGACTTTTCATTCCTCGAACCACTCATCTTATCCTCAACGTATGAAGCTAAGCTCCTTAAATTTTCCAAAAACTTCAACTTCTCATAAGATTCTCATCAAATCATTGAAATGGACTCATTTCGGATTTACGTAAGCCTCTGTCATCCTGGAAAAAATGGATTTAGCGAGAAAATATTGTAGTTTTCGGCGGAAATTGAGGTCCGTTATATTCGGACTTTTCGGGAATGTCAAATCCTCAGAAAGGAAATGAGAAAAAAAGCAATTTTTTTGGTTATTTTTTTAAATTTTCATACTTGTAAGGGGTAGTTTTTGATTCTCTACACGTAGATCATTGTTCTGATTTTTTTATCTTCCAGAAAAATGAGGAAAAAAATTCTCAGAATTTTGAAAAAAATGTGATAAGGATCAAATTTCCTGGAGCAAAAAAACTAGGGAAAAATTATGAATTTTCAAAAAAAGAGAAAAAAAGCTCTTAATGAAAAAAAGCTACCATTAGAACAAAATTAACCCTTTTTTTCGTGATTTTTTTAATTATCAAAAGTTCGATTTTAAGCTTCTCCTCCTTGTCGCCGTGGTTTTGATCTTGGCCGAAGCTAAGAATAGACGTCAACTCAGTGAGTTTTTTTGATCTTGAGAAAAAAATAATGATGATTCCCAATGCTCAATGGGCGACCGAATTTCAGGGGATTCTCCAGGAAATTTTTTTCAATCGAGAAAGTTTTTCTCGCTTATATATAGGGACCGCAGACGAACTTTCAAAATTTTTTTTTCAGCATTGAGCTTTGTATGGTTTGATAGCTGTTTCGAGTCCAAACTCAGAACCGTTTAGTTTTTCGAAAAAGGTTGAGGATGAAAAATGTTATGACGAAAAATGTGGCGCGCCGCGCACCATTTTTTTAGTACTTAAATTTTGGTATTATCCATTTTGAAATTTTTCTCGATTTTTCTTCTAGAACAAGTTTTGATACTGGTCTATTATGATGTAACAAATCATAATAGAGTGCTAAAATGATGAATATTTGCTAGTTTGCCGAAAAAGTCAGTATTTTCCAGAAAACAAAAAACTGACGCTTGCGGGCATCGAACTCGCGACCTCAAAATGAAAAATCGCAGCGCACGCACTGCGCCAAGCTGTCAGGTCTAGCGCGGGGAGCTTCCATCCGCCATACCCTTCAGCCGTTTAAATAGCACAGATTGTCTATTTCAAAAAAATAAAAAAACTTGAAGTAATTAAGCTATTTTTTTATCAGAATATGTTCGCAAATCTTTACTCAAACTTTCCGTGAAAAATTCACTTCGAAAAAAACTGTTTTTTTAGTGCTTTTTTTGCCTCTTTTTAACGATCGCTGCCTTAAAAACGGCCCCGTAAATTTTTTTGGCAAAGACGAATTTTTTTATTTCATTCTTTTTAATTGAAAGATTTTTTTACTAATAAATGTATATAATCGTTTAAAAAAACCTGCGTTCGACCGTTTTCTGTGTGATAAACGCCGCTAATTTTATTCTCTATTTTTCAAGAGCATTTTTTTGCGTAATAAACAACTTTTTTTCAAGCACATATTCTGTGGAGAAATATTTAAGTAAGCCCGTGATCTAAATTTTGAAAAAAGAAAAACTCGATTCTATTCGCATATTAACGATATTTTGAATTACGACTTTCGGCACTCCCTAAAATTTTTGGCAAAGACGAATTTTTTATTTTATTGTTTTAAAAATACCGTTACTTGAATCAAAATCATTATATAAAAAAAGAAAGAGTGCGTTCGACCTGAAAACACATAAAAAAGCAAAAAAATGACAAATTTTTTTAGTTGCATTCACGCTTTTGTACGACATTCCGCGAGAACGCATCAAAAAAGCGTAAAATTTTTTTTAAACGAAAGAGGAAGCTTTTCTGTACATGTGTGTCAAAATTTATTATCCAGTTCCACATATTTTGCAACTACAACAAAATGAAAGTTGAAAACCAAAAAAAAGCCACTTTTTCTATCGCGAAAAGGGGCGTGGCTTTGCGGTCCCTACTTATATAGCTGATTCACGGCTGGCTTGAGCCATCGAGAAAAGGGTCATGCCACGAAAAGAGACGAGACAGTGCCTGGTTGTTGGAGAGTGCAGACAGGCCACGCCTTTTTGCGTCCCAAGCTAGCCGTGAATCTTCTATAAAACCATTAGGGACTCGAGAATACGAAAATATTCTCAAAATTAAAAGAATAAACAAATCTGAAAATTTTTTTGACTTTTTGAACTGATCTGGTCCCTTTCTTGAATATTAGTTCAAAACCTTTAATTTTTTTTTCAAATTTTCAAAGTTTTCTGGATCAAAGATATTCTACATTATACGTCTTCATATGAAAAATCCGGAAAACCGTCGGAAGTCGATCATTTTTCCGACCACTTGTTGGACTGGTCCGAAAAACCTTGGAAAAAATTTAAAAGCTTATTTTTGACTTCTTCAAAGTTCGTAGAGCAAATTCTTGTTTAGAATTTCATGTTGGATCCAAAAATGAACTCTTTATTTTAAAATTCGCAGAGCGAACAGATTTATATCACTTCTAAGACCCAATATGACCGGTCCAAAAAAGAAATTATCGAAAAATTGAATGTTTTTCCAGATTCCAAAGCTTTTTCTTACGCCGAATTTTTTTCTCAATCTAAAAATTGGACTCTCATCACTTTTTGTATCAAAACTTCAGTTTTTAAGGCATCATTTTGCATTATTTTCGAGTTTTATTAGATAACTGAGGTAGTGAGACGGAATGGTCGCACTGAGAATGGCTTAAGACGCGTTGCGGTCGCGCAGCGTTTCAAAGATTTTCAGCTTTTTTTTTTCCGTTTTTTACCACTTTTGAAGTCTCGAAATGATCGCCTATCACAGAAAAAGTCTTTCAGAATCCTTGGATGCTTGCCTTTACACGGACGAATGCCCGGACGGTTACGTTTGCGACTGTCGGGGACCTGTCGATTGCTATTTTCTTCGCCGCTTCTGCTACAGAAATGGCGAAAATAACATTTTCTTCGGTCTTTTTTGAGAAATGAAGATTTTTTGTTTAGCTTTTGCGCCGTATTTTGTACAGAAATAGCATGTTCTTTGGCCTTTTTTTTGAAAAAATGAAGGTTCTCTGTGAAGAACATTCTGCTACAGAAATGGCGAAAGTTTAATTTTTTTTTTTTGGCCTTCTTTGAAAAAATGAAGATTCTCTGTGTAGAACATTCTGCTACAGAAATGGCGAAAATAACATTTTCTTTGGCTTTTTTTTTTGAAAAAATGAAGATTTTGCGCCGTTTTTGCTATAAAATTCACATCTTCCTTGGCCCAAAATAAAATTTTCTTGTATAAAAAGTGATTTAGAATGGAAATTGATGAAGGAGAAGAGAAAAGAGAGGATAGAGCAGTGGTTGGAGGCGCGAACATCAAGTTGAGGACGCTGGTTCGATCCCTTAGCCTTCCATTTTTTTGACATTTTAAAAAGTTTTTTTCAGGCAAAAATAATTTAAAAAAATCGCATTTTATTTCGAAAAAAATGCACTGAAAATTGTAAGTAAGAAGTCGAAAAAGCTTTTAGAGCAGTGGTTAGAGGCGCGATCGTCATTTTGAGGACGCAGGTTCGACTCCTCTCCGTGTGATTTCATTTTTTTGCCATTTTTTTTCAAAGGGATTTGAATGCATTTTTTTCTGTCATTAATTTACATTATATTTCAATTCAGAGGAAATATGAGGAAGCTGGATCGAATCCAAATTTTTTTTTTTGGATTACCGTGGCCAAGTGAGTAAAAAGAGGAAGTAAGCTAGATTCAAGGCCGGAAATTGGATGGCTCATGGCATTTTCCAGGTAAATTTGAATATTTGAGCTCGGATTTTACTCAAAATCGCAAAAAAGGGGCCAAAAGCGTCTCTCAGCGCCACGTTGAGGGGAGCAATTTGCATCAATTTGCGGACGAGCGCACTTTTTGGCGGCAAACAGCCGCGCGAAAAACAAATTTGCATTAAACTTTGCTTCTTGGTATGGATATGAAGGTTATTTTTTGATAGTGTGGCGGAAAAATCTTCTAGCGCTAAAAAAATTGATTAATGTGGATTTTTTTGAATATAAAAATGAAAAAAAGTGGATGAAAAAAATAAATGATTAAGCTGACTGAGCCAAGAAGAAACTCTAAATGTTTTCGAAAAAAATTTAAAAAAATTTATTTTCCCTTACAAGGAGGTCATTATACTTTGTGGTTTTTTTTTTCTTTTTATTTTTTCCTGAAAATTGGTTAAAACACTCCTTGATGTACCAAAAAAGGATTCTGAAAGTTTCAACCTGCAAAACTCCCTAGAGTCAAAAAACCTTCAAAATATGTCAAAAAGACAATTTTTGTAGCTTTGAGCCCTTATTTCTTGAAAAATGGGAAGTTGAGTAGTTTCAGACTTTCAGAACCTCAAATTGGTATTTCACGGGATGTTCTGACAAGTTTTCAGAAAATTCTCAATCGCCGAGTAAAATGACCTACCTGCCGGATGAGTCATGATTATCAACAGAGCGAACATGGTCAAAAAAAAAAATATTATTTTTCGCGGAAAATTCGGTCCAAATTGAAAGAACAAGGAAGTTCCAAGAGTTTATTTCTGAAAATCCGCGAAAAAGCCCATCGAAAATTTTTCAAACGTATGAGTCATGATTATCAATAGAGCGAACATGGTCAAAAAATAAAAAATATTATTTTTCGCGGAAAATTCGGTCCAAATTGAAAGAACAAGAAAGTTCCAAGAGTTTATTTCCGAAAATCCGCGAAAAAGCCCATCGAAAATTTTCCAAACGGCATCTTTTATGATGTGTTTTTGTTGTGTGTGTGTGTGCAGAAAGTTTACACACGATCACAACTATACGATTACACTGGAGAGGTCACTTGAGGGACCATCAAAGTTGTCACTATAGTGACACGTTTTGATGATTCGAGGCGAGAATGAACAAAAAAAGAAGTGTCAAGCGAGGAAAACAACTCAAGGAATTGGTCAGAGAAATAAAAGAAAATAAAGCTTGACGAGGACGGAAACTGTACGATTACACCTTTGGATTGACATTTTCTTGTGGAAATTCGTTTTTTTTTACTCGGGCAAAGTCGGAATGGTGGAAATTGGGGAGAGGCTCAAAAAAGGCCCCAGAAAGGTCGCAGAAAGGCCGCAGAAAGGGAGCGAAAAAGGAGCAAAACGGGAGCAAAAAGGCACCAAAAAGGCACCAAAAGGGCCGCAAAAAGGCAGCACAAAGGCACCGAATAGGGAGCAAAACGGGAGCAAAAAGTCACCAAAAAGACTCCAAAAAGGCACCAAAAAGGGAGCAAAAAGCTACCAAAAAAACCGCGGAAAGGCACCATAAAAGCAGAAAAAAAGGCGCAAAAAAGCAGCAAAAAGGCCGCCGAAAGGCACCAAAAAGGGAGCAGAAAGGGAGCAAAAAGGGACATTTCTAGAGCCTTTTCGACGCTTTCCGACTTTGCCGATGTACTTGGAAAAATCTTGAAAATAGGAAAAAAATTGATTTTGTTTTCGCGGAGTTTGCTATGAACATATTTATTGCAATCCACAAGGAGAAAAAGAAATTCGCTGTCTTGAGCTTTTCGAATCATAAAAAAAACCGCAAAAACGCTCAAATTTAAGCTTTTTGGAGGCGTACTAGCGGAGCTTCGTACTGAAAAAATCTATTTATGAAATTTTTTTTCCGTTCCGTTAAAAACGACCTCCAGGAACATTTTTTCTTTTTTTTTTCAAGCTGAAAATCTCTACCAATTCATGAAGATTTGATATATTCCTGAGCTTGAAAAAAATCCTAAAAAAATCTATCTTAGAATCATGAATTTCTCAGGGACATTAAGATTGAAAATCAAGATTTTTGCAAAAATCAAGACCAAAAAGTTAAAATTAGCACGTAGCTCTTTCAAAAATCAGTTGAAGAATCGAGGACAAGATGCAGGGGAAAAAAAAACAGTGTAAAATGCGGTGGTTTGGAGCGAAAAGCGAAGAAGATGAATTGATGATTTCCGGTGGACAACTGCCGGAAAATTACTTTTTTTTTTTCTTAGATGTTTATAGTTTCAGGTGAGAAAACTTGCAGAAAATACCTATGCAGAAAAAAAAAATGAGGGAAAAGGGGAAGTTTTCATGGGCCATTGAACAGGAACACTTATAAGAAGTGAACGTTTTGGTTTTTTTTGGTTGTTTTACTTTTTTGAGCTTCTCACTTAGAATGCTGCATCTGCAAGTCGTTGGTAAGAATTGCGCCCGACCAAAAACGACTTGCGCGGGGTGGCATCGGAAAGCACAAGAGAGAGCTCTTACCAAAAATACTTCAATAAAAATCACCTTTTTTTTGGTTGTTCCACTTGTTTTGTGTTTCAAACTCACGTGAAATTGCCTACTGAATAATTTTTGCTCAGAAATGCGCCCGACCAAAAACGACTTGCGCGCTGTGGCATCGAAAAGCTCGAGAGCCGAAAAATACATCATTTAAGCTCAAAAAACGGTTTTTTTTCGGTTGTTTTACTTTTTTGAGCTTCTCACTTAGAATGCTTCACCTGCAAAATAGTTTCTTTGAGATGCGCCCGACCAAAAACGATTAGCGCGCGATGGTATTGGAAAGCACAAGAGCCGAAAAATACTTCTTTTAAGCTCAAAAAAACGGTGCTTTCTGGTTTTTTTTTTTAATTTTCTGAGTTTCGACGTCATGATCTTACGAAAAATTGCTCCAAAATGGTTGTTTAGAAATGCGCCCGACCAGAAACGACTTGCGCGCGGTGGTATCGAAAAGCTCGAGAGCCGAAAAATACATCATTCAAGCTGGAGAAAAAACGGTCTTTTTTATTCTTTTACTTTTTTCTGAGTTTCGAACTCATGATCTTACGTAAAATTGCACTGAAAAACGGTTGCTCAGAAATGCGCCCGACCAGAAACGACTTGCGCGCGGTGGTATCGAAAAAAACTCGAGAGCCGAAAAAAATACTCCATTTAAGCTCAAAAATTATTTTTTTAAAAATCACAAAAATCATCTTTTTTTAACTAAAAATAAGGCTCAATAGTTCAAAAAAATCATCAACCTATAATCAAGAGAAATCATCAAAAAAATCCCAAAAAAAGTCCCAAATAACCACTTTTTTTAACTGAAATTAGAAGGAACGGGGGGGGCTAAAATATATATATAAATAATGTTCTGAGCCTTCCTTCTCTATCAAAAATTGTAAAAAGACCACAAGAAATCCTCCGAAATTCGTAACGAGACACGCTAAAAAGCGATCAAAAGGCCTAGAATCGCGAGCTGATCAGTTGTAATGGACCCATCCGGTCAGCCGCCGCGGCAACCAATAAATATATTTCTGGCCAGCTGGGGGCAATGAGCCTACTGACGCAAGTCCGACGTATATAACGATAAAGCTCCGAGGCCATTTCGTGTGGCTCATTTCGAGGCTCCTAAGGCTCTCAAAGTATATGAGCTGTGAGAAAATCAGAGTTGGGAGCCGAAAAAGTTGACTTTTTAGACAGAATCTCTGCTTATTGGATTTCTAAGTCAACAAGGAAAACAGTGAAAAAAAGGCAAAAAAGTTTTTTTCCAAGAGGGTTCGAACTTTGGTACTGAAACTGCCAATATAGCGCTCTACCTGCTGCGCCACCCAGTTTGGAGAAAAGCCTCAGGTTGATTTGAGCTTTGGGAGCCGAAAAAATTGACTTTTTCCACAGAATCTCTGCTTATTGTTTTCTAAGTCAACAAGGAAAACAGTGAAAAAAGGCAAAAGAATTTTTTTCAAGAGGACTCGAAGCTGGGTCGTCAGATTTGTAAGACAACGCTCTACCTGCTGCGCCATCTAGCTTTATGAAATGAGAAAGCAAAAAACTGAGTTTATTCGAAGAAGCTTTCATGGTCACTGGATTTCAAAGACAAATGAAGAAAAAGTCAAAAAAGTTTTTTTCCGAGAGGGTTCGAACTTTGGTACTGAAACTGTCAATATAGCGCTCTACCTGCTGCGCCACCCAGTTTGGAGAAAAGCCTCAGGTTGATTTGAGCTCTAAAAAAGTCGATTTTTTTTCAAAACGATCTAAAATTTACATATTGGTTTACTAAACTACCTGAGAGAAGAACTGAAAAAAAAAAAAAAAGTTTTGTCTAAGAGGATTCGAACCTGAGTCGTCAGATTTGTAAGACAAGGCTCTACCTGCTGCGCTATCCAGCTTCAAAAAAGTTCTCGATTGATAAATCGCTTTAGGTTATAAAAATAAAGCTCCGAGGCCATTTAAAGGCTCCTAAGGCTCTTAAAGTATATGAGCTGTGAGAAAATCGGAGTTGGGAGCCGAAAAAGTTGACTTTTTCCACAGAATCGCTGCTTATTGGATTTCTAAGTCAACAAGGAAAACAATGAAAAAAGGCAAAAAAGATTTTTTCCGAGAGGATTCGAACTTAGATACTGAAACTGTCAATCGACCTGCTGCGCCACCCAGTTTGGAGAAAAGCTTCAGGTCGATTTGAGCTCTAGAAAAAGTCGATTTTCTTCAAAACGCTCTAAAATTTGCATATTGGATTACTAAACTAACTGAGAAAAGAACTGTAAAAAGGCAAAAAAAGTTTTTCCCCAAGAGGAATTGAACCTTGGTCGTCAGATTCGTAAGACAAGGCTCTACCCGCTGCGCCACCTAGCTTTTTGAAATGAGAAAGCAGAAAAACTGAGATCTTCCGAAGAAGCTTTTCACTGTAAAAAGGCAAAAGAATTTCATTTTGTTATCCAGAAGTTAAAGAAAAAATGGCAAAAATGTACACTTTGAAAGATTGAACACTGGTCTTCAAAATCTTAAACTAACCTCCTACCTACTAAAACATAAAACTAGCAAAATTAAATTTTCTAAAATTGGATTAAAAGTACCCTATCAACGAAAACCCTATCTAATAGGTTCTCAAAAATATAAAAATGAACGTCAAAACCAAAAATCTCATGGAGTGGATTCGAACCTTGGTACCCAGATTAACGAGCTAGAAAGCTACCTACTGCGCTATCCAGTCGATGGAATCGTCCAGTAGAAGTTTCATTAGCTTCTAGTTACCATAAATAAAAAAAGCAAAAAAAAACATACCGACGAAGGTTCGAACCCGGGTCATTAGATTGGTAAGCGAGCCCTCTACCCACTGCGCCAAGCCGTTAGATGAGTAATTTTACTGAAATAAATCGAAATAACTTGGTTAATCACGGAAAAAAAAAATGGCAAAAACAATTTTTCTCAATGGGATTTGAACCCAAGTCATTGGATTGGTAAGCGAGCCCTCTACGCACTGCGCCAAGCCGTTAGATGAGGTCATTTTACTAAAATGAATCGATTGATTTGGTGCAAACGTCATGAAAAAAAAATGGCAAAAACAATTTTCCTCAATGGGATTTGAACCCGGGTCATTGGATTGGTAAGCGAGCCCTCTACGCACTGCGCCAAGCTGTTAGATGAGGTCATTTTTACTGAAATGAATCGAGATAACTTGGTTAATCACGGAAAAAAAATGGCAAAAAACAATTTTCCTCGAAGGGATTCGAACTCTGGTCCTTGGATCGGTAAGCGAGCCCTCTACGCACTGCGCTAACTAGTAAGCCGTTAGATGAGATCATTTTACTAAAATGAATCGAGATAACTGGCGTAAATGTCATGAAAAAAAAATGGCAAAAAACAATTTTCCTCGAAGGGATTCGAACTCTGGTCCTTGGATCGGTAAGCGAGCCCTCTACGCACTGCGCGAAGCCGTTAGATGAGGTCATTTTACTGAAATGGATTGACTGATTTTGTGCAAACGTCATGAAAAAAAATGGCAAAAACAATTTTCCTCAATGGGATTCGAACCCGGGTCATTAGATTGGTAAGCGAGCCCTCTACCTACTGCGCCAAGCCGTTAGATGAGTAATTTTACTGAAATAAATCGAAATAACTTGGTTAATCACGGAAAAAAAATGGCAAAAAACAATTTTCCTCAATGGGATTTGAACCCGGGTCATTGGATTGGTAAGCGAGCCCTCTACGCACTGCGCCAAGCCGTTAGATGAGGTCATTTTTACTGAAATGAATCGAGATAACTTGGTTAATCACGGAAAAAAAATGGCAAAAAACAATTTTCCTCAATGGGGTTCGAACTCGAGTTATTGAATCCATAGTCTAACGTGCTATCTGCTGCGCCATTTGACTATACTTTTGAACCACCAAAAAAATTTTTGCTCAAATAAGAGTATTAATTTTTGCTGGCATGAGCTTTTTAAAATTTCCGCCCTGCGCCTTTAAACTTCTTTTTTCCCTAATCGAAGTCGAAAAATGCGGAGGAAGCCGTTATCATTTCCATTAGTCATCTTTTGATAACGGATCGGAAACGACGGAACTACGAGTATGTGCTGATAATGTTAATGGGGAGAAGCTGAAAATACTCCTTCATTCCGAAAATTTGCGCCCTGCTAATCGTGAATTTCCAGTGATAATTAGGGTTATAGTATGTGCACCACGACATGGAATCTAACCGAACGACACTCCGCTGTTCCGCTGCGTGCCTTTGGGCGCCTTTAATTTTTCATTTTATTTAAGAACTCGACCAACACGTGTTCCTAGTGGACCAGTCCATCTATCAGAAATGAGAACCACATCAAAGCGAGACCGAGGCTCCCAAAGACGCTCCGCGACGCAGCGGAACAGCGGAATGTCGTTCGGTGAAATTTCAAATCATGGTACACAGACTATACCAGAATGGTCTCTATCGAGGTTAGGGTGAAAAACCAACCCTATAGAGGTTTGTGGTCTAACCAAAAAAAGCAGGCTTTTTTTAACGAGAAAAAGTGGTTCTTTTTGCTTATTTTTTTCTCATAGTTATTAAAAAAACTATAATTCAAAAAGTTAAAAATAATTTTTTTCCGTAAAATTTTTTTCAGAATGAAATTTTATATTTCTTTCGAAGCCCGGTCTGACCAGAGGCCCGCAGGCTTTTTCAAAGTTTGTAGGCCTCAAGCCCGGGCCAGCCCGGCCCCTATAGGGACCATTTTTGCAAGTTTTAGTGGTTCCTATAGGGGTTGTCAAAGTGTTCCTCAAAGGGGGTTTCTCCAAAGGTATCTAAGTTTGCCCCTATAGGGACCACTCTGAAGTTATTAAGTTATTAAGTGTTTCATTCCACTCAAAAAAAAACTTATTCTTTCAAAACTTTGAAAATATTCCATCGGTAAAAAAAACCTTCACGTAAATCATATAAAATCGCGAAACCCGGTGCGAGTCGGTTACACGCCTTTTTTCATAGATAAAAAATGACCAAAGAAACTATTGACTATAGCCAATCCTTCCAGATTTCGAAGGCTAGATGGGTAAGGCGAAGCGTTGCGTACGCGTCGCGGCTTTTTGGTCGGGAGGCTCGTGGTCATTTTTTCTCATTTTTGACCGGTTCTTCAATAACTTCTCATTTTTCATGGTTTTGTGAAGGTTTAGTTGGACTAGAAGAAGTATAAAAATGATAAAAAAAAAACTGATTTTAGATCAAAAGGTGTCCAGTAATTGTTCCTAAACGGCTGGCAACGGTTTCCTTTTTACTGCCTTTTTCCGCTCTTTCATCTGCTTTTATTCACCCTTTTTGGACCCTTTTGAGAACTACAATTTCTTTTAAAATTAAGAATAATCTTTACCAGTGACTGTGTATGAACCAAAATGTGCTACAGTAACAAAATCGGAAATGATCAATGGCCGATAAATTTTTAGCCCAACAAGAATAAAAAGGCTCAATAAAGGCCGCAAAACGGAACCTTTTTATCGGCCATTTCGCACCCGTTTTCCGACTTTGGCAATGTCTCTTCTTTCAAGTCAATAAAATATGGACCACAGAAACGTTTTTTCTAGTCTTAGCTTGTTAGAAGTCTGAAAATCGTTCTGAAAAAGTCAACCCCTGCTTTTCAAACAGTTCAGCCCCCGTACAAAAAACCAATTTCACTTCAATTTTTGGTCTTTATGATGACATAAAATGGCGCGTCGTTTGATGATAAGCTCAAGTTTCAAACTTGCTTACGTCAAACATAATTCTTATCATCTTGAATTAAAAACACAACTTTAAAGCCTTTGCGATGCGTCATCAAGGTTGCCGACAGCCAAAATTAATGATCGATGCTATAAAGATCAAATGCGCTCCATTGATAAAAAGCAGCGGTTCCTATTAGCATATAGTATATTTGTCTGTACTCTCTCGATCTTTCCGGGAAAAGCGAGAGAAAAGAGAGCGCAGACAAGTCAGACTATTTGAATGGCAAATAAGTCGCACAGCTTCAAAATATTCAAACCCATGAAAAAGTTCCAAGATCAACGAAAAATGAACTTTTTAGGAATATTTATACAGTAGAAAGGGAAAGAAACGCAAAAAATACAATTATATCTAGGGGGCTTTGAAGAAATCGTGGGGCAAAACAAACCGGTTTGAGTAAAGTTTGAAAGAGAAGTTTTAATTTTTTTTATAATTTCATAGGATCAGGGCGCGGCCGGAGGGATGTTTTCGGCTCTCTGAAAAAAAAAAGTTGCTGAAAGATTAGATAGTTTAAAGGCGCAGGGCAGAGGCTAAATTTTCGTTTTGAGACCTAAATTTAATGGGGATCGGACTTGAAAGTGCCCAGCTCTGCCATGTGCCTATAGATCCATTTTTTGAATACCCTTAACGATTTTTAAAGGCTCAAAACTTCCATAAAATGGTATCAAAGAGGATTTCTCCTTAGACTCCGCCCTGCGCCTTTAAAAATCTCTTATAACTCCATTTAAATATATTATTCATCCAAAAAGGCTTCAACGGCTCCTGAAGGTTGGATCTTCACGACAAAGTCCTTAAAAGTCCTTTTTGAAAATCCGCTTTGAGCCTTCCTTCTGACTGAACTACAGACACACCAAGCAGCTCTATTTGCTTATTAAAGGCGCAGGGCGGAGCCTCGTATCATTATTGCCAAAATATTCACTTTTTTTGGCCCCTCTTTTTAAAAAATGCTTTTTTTCAACAGTACCTTCTGCATGATAGACTGGAGTAAAAGGAGCTGAATGTGAGCTGCAGCGGGGGCGTGGCATCTCGGCAACTTGTGCGCGGAAAAGTCGAGCGCCTTTTCCGGCAGAAAATTGTCCTGGGGCTCGGGACATTTTCGCTTCCGATTGGAGAGCAAACTGGCCATGCTCAGCGGATTTGAATTCTGAAAAATTACTTGAAAAAAAGGACGCTTCAATCCTTTAAACATTGGCGCTCCATGGATAATTTTAAGGAATGCCATAATTTCGAATCTCGGTAACGCAAACCGGACGCGCCCTGGACGTTTCTGAGCAACTCTAGGGACCCCTTAAGCTGCTTCAGCCCTCTTAAGTGATCACTAGGAAAGCCGTTTTTTCAACCGGTTTCGCTTCTTGTTCGGACCTCGTGGACGTTTCGGAGCCTTTCTAGTGACCCCTTTAGCAGCTTCAGCGCTCTTAAGTGGTCACTAGAAAAGCCGTTTTTTTAAGTCAAAGTTTGTCACGCTCAAACAAACTTTTAGCTCCTTGTTCGGATCTCGTGGACGTTTCTGAGCATTTCTAGTGACTCCTTTAGCAACTTCAGCCCTCTTAAGGGACCCCTGGAGATGCTCGGAAACGTCTTGTTTGCGTTACCGGTGATCGAGCGTTCTTGACAGTGATTGTACCATTTTCAAATTGTTATTTAACCTCTGAGAAATGAATTTAACCATGGAGCGCATTTTCAAATTAACGTGGCTATTTTTTACGACTAGGGGGAGGGGATCTCGATTTTTTAGAAGCAGATTCCTCGGAAAAACATTTCGATAAGGCCTAAAGTTTTCAGCTTTTCTGGACCCGCTTTCAAAGCCATTTTTTTTAGCTTCATCTTCATAATCTTGCTCCCCCCCACAAAGCTTCTTTCCAAATTTCAGCAAAAAAAAAAGTCCTTACCGCCACAAAATCGTTGTCATTGGCTTCACTAGAGTCCGGAGAATTGTTGGAATAAATCGGAGACGAAAGCGACGACGATGCGAGATTCTATATTGAAAAAATGAAAGTTTTTTCGAGGAATTCTGAGCTAACATGAGGATGATCTCTGAAGCTGGTCATCGTCTCCGGCAGGTGGAGTTTCGGGTTGGCGTTGGCCGAGTGACGGTTTCTGGAAGCATATTTTCATATATTCAAAACAAATTTAACAAAATAAAGGCTAAAAATATAGTTCTTTCTCATAAAATTGTACATTGAGCTCACAAGCCTTGGCTCTTTTTAAATTTCTTTTTGAGTAGTTTTTGTTCCAGAAAGTAGATATTGTAAAGATCAAACTACATATTTCAAGATCCTGACTTGCTTTCCGGAATCCCTCGATCGAATTTTTAATTAGAGAAGTTTCTTAAATTTCTCACAGGGAAGATAATTTCACTTTGTGATCGGGAATTCGGCAACATTATTCTTTGATGTACAAGATGAAAGTCATGGAAATGTCAACCAGCTCTAGTAGGAGCTTAAGCAAGTTCTCTAGCACTTTTTGTGGTTTTTTAAAAATCGATTCCCAGATGTCCTTTCTCAAGAACTAGGAGCTTGTGCCAGTTGAGACCTTCAGAAATCCGGTCTATCAATCATCAATCATCAAATCATTTATTTTGTTGGTTTAGTCATAGATGTATCGACTAGGCGGTGAACAAGAACTTTGAAAGCTATAACGAACAACCGCCTTTGGCGAGCTAGAAGTCCAAACGTGTAGTCGAAAGAGTTGAAAGCATGGTCTTACGGTCCTTCGCCTCGTCCTTCTGCGCGTAGTTCATCCAGTTGCGCCTTGACGAGCTCAGAATGTAGCGGATGTTGTGCTGGAGCCCGGAGACCGTGCTTTAGGTGGAAGCCTCAGAATGAGAGCTACCACTTCGAGTGAAGATTTTACACGGAATCAAGAAGGTCCATCAAGAAGCGTTCTGACCAAAGTTCAGGAATTTCCCAACCATGGATGGGTCTCATTTCGCCCGGGAGGAGGGATTATTTTACAAGAATTCAAAAAAATTAGGGATAAAATCCATTTTCAACCTCAGGGAGGTACTTTTGGTCACAATAAAATTAGCCTGAGGGAGGTAGCATTAACTTTAATTTTGGAAAAATCGAGAGGAGGGGTCTTCAAAAATGGTCAGCCAATGTATGGTTTTACGAAAGTGACCTCACTATTTCCTGCGTGAGAAAGATTCCTAAAATGACCACTAGAGGGACTTCTTAAGAAGCCACTACTTGACGTACTGGTTTAGAGGCTTCTGTTGGAATTCTTTCAATGATTTTGAACTTGAAGAGCTGCAACACTACTTATAAATCGGCCTTTTATGCTAAATATTTTTTCTAATTGGTTCTTAACAAACTTTACTTGCCTCTATAGTGACCTTTGTCCATTTAAAGTAGCTTGGTGATCTTAAAAAATCGTGACCACTAGCTTCAGGCTCTAACAAGGTCATGAGGCTCCATGAGTCTCATTCAAACCTTCAAAATTTAAAAAAAATCCTACCGGCTCCTCCGACTCGAGAACTGCTTCCCGCACCCGGCCACCGTACAGGTGTGCATTTCCTTCAGGTGAACGGCCGACGTGTGAATTTTCAGGGCGCCCTTGTCGCAGAACGTCTTCTTGCACACGTCACAGGAGACCCTTTTTTTCTGCTTGTTGAGATGAGAGGGAAGGGTCGAGGTTCCGGACGTCGCCTTCAACAAAAAAATTCTGATTTCCTTGAAATTTTTTTTTTATTTTTTACTTTGTCCGGACGTTTCTGAACAGTTCTAGGGATCACTTAAGGGTTCTGACGCTACTAAAGTGGTCACTAGAAAGGTCATGACACGTCCGGCACTCTATACCGAGGTCGGAGTAATACATAAAATCACTTAAGGGTTCTGACGCTACTAAAGTGGTCACTAGAAGAGCCCCGACATGCCCGAATGCGCCCGGCTCGCTTTACCAAGACTGGAGGAATAAATAAAATTCCTTAAGGGTGCTGGCGCTACTAAAGTGGTCACTACAATTGCCCTTTCATGTCCGAAAGCGTTCGATCCACGTTACCAAGATCGGAATAAAATTAATAAAGATGCGGAAAATTTCATTTTTTTTTTTTGCGCCCCCCGGTCACCTTGTACTTCTGAACGCGCTGATTCAGAATTCATCAAGCTAAATCCAACTTTTGCCCTTTAGTTGACCCTTCAGACGCTAAAAATCCTTTTTTCTTCCCTACAATGGTGCGTTTTTTCAACTTTGAAGTACCATACTAAATGATAATTTCGAAACTTAACGGTGAATCAAAAATGTTCTAAACTATAGCCGATTCAAGGCTGGAAGGCTGGCTTGAGCCATTGGGTCCTGAAACGACGAAAACGAGAGATAGTGCCTGGTTGATGGAGAGCGCAGTCAGTGAAAGCATCTCGTGTCTCTGCCGTCTCTTCATAATCCTACCTCATTGGTGCTGATCGAAGCGACGCTGCCAGGCCTGGAGACGTCGTCGACGTCGACGTTCTCCTCGTCGTCGTCGCTCGCCTCCTTGACGTCACTTCTCGGCGGCAGAGTTGGAAGACGTCGGTAGGCCGACGCGTTCAGAAGCGACGTCGAACTCGAGGCGGCGTGCAGAGCGGCAAGTTGGAGCGGGAACCAAGGGGAGAAGATCGGGGGCGGCGGGACGAAAAAAGGACCACACGCGGGAATTTGGGCGAACCGCGCCAGGGTGGACCTCTCGTCGCACATTTCCAGGGAGTTGAGCGATTTTTTGGCCGAGTCCTGAAACAATTGATGACGTCAGGTACAGTAAGAAAAGTCCAGCACATTTCAGCAATCAGCGAGCTTCTGATAAGAATGGAGACAGTAAAACAGACCGCATTTGGAATGGCTTTTTGAGGCTAGAATATCAAACCCGTTAGGTGACATCTTAGTACTTGTAAAGCTTGCAAAAAGAATTTGAAATGAAATTTTCGGCTGACTTTTGAAAATTCAAACTTTTAAGTTTAATTAAGGTGAACTTTAAGGTCTTAAAATAATTGTTTGAAAGTTTTTCTGCACTTCAAAACCTTGAATCCCGACCTAGAATCCGGAAAATGACGTTACGGGGAAAATTTTTAGTGGCCATTTTAGGGTTTTGAAGTTTTAGTGGCCTCTATAGTAGCCAAATTAAGGGTCACTTAAGGGGTTTAAAATCAGTGGCCACTATAGAGGTCTACGTGCTACCAGTGGACCACTAAAAATTTTAGTGGCCACTTTAGGGGTCAATGTATCGACATAACTAGTCCAATCAGTTTGTTTTAAAATTATCAGAGTTATGGAAGGAATACTGGATGAAAAAGTATTGAAGTGGCCACTAAATAGAGAACCTCTATAGTGGCCACTCTAACGGAAAATAGTGGCCACTGAAGAGGTGGGTTTAGTGGCCACTTTAGTGTCCTCTCCAAGTAGTCCTTGGCAAGCCTCTATAGTGGCCACTAAACATTTTACCAGTTAGCAATAAAATTAAAACAAGAAAGGCCATCTAAACACGAAGAAACAAGCAAAATTGTTGCTAAATATAGAAATTCCCGAAAATGTCTCAAAAAGTCATAGGAAACAAGAAATCACGAGCTCGCCTACCGTATGCCCCGGCGAAAAAGAACACGAGAAGGACGAGGTGGCCTGGGGGCGCGTTTGGGGACAGAAAACGGAGAGAGCAAGAGGCAGAGAGGCGTCCAAGTGCGGCAAAAAAGATGACGAATTGCGAAGAATCGGCGCTCCGTCGGCCGTCACCCCCATTTGTCGTCGTTCAGACTCCCGGCCGAAGAGCCATCTTTTCTTGTTCCCGAGAAAGAAAAGAAGAGAGGACAGATTATGGTAGGTTGGAGGAGCTCAAGAAACTTTGGGAGGGCTTTTAAAAATCTTGTTCAGACGTTTTGGATAATTGTAAAGCGACCAAATCGATAAGGTAAGATGGGAGAGTACCTTGGAAGGTTTTCTTAAAGTCAAGAAGTCTATGAGTTCGGGACATGGCTGACAATCGATTTATCCATTGAAAACCATCCGATTTAGTAAGATTAGGTCGGAGAATCTCAGGATCCCTTTCATGACCTTCGAAAATTTCAAATACGTTAAAATAAATCGACTTTTGACATAAGAAGTTCAAAAAATCAAAGAGCTCAATAGATTCTGACATAGTTGGCCTGAAGGAATTTAAGGTTTTCCTACAGGGCTTCATGGACTTCTAGGAACCTCGATAAGACGACCAATTTTACCTTTTACTTGATCGTTTTCTACTGCATTTGCACATAAAATAGTGGGAAAAAAAAAACGTTTTTAATACGGTTTTAGGATATTTTCTATATAAACTCTGTGAATAATATTGAAAAATATGTAAAAATGATGAAGTTATAAACCGGCAAAAAAATGATTTCCGCGAAAAGGATCCGAACCATGACCTTGTGTACAGTAAACAAGACCGTTAACCACTACACCACGCCGCCAATCTGACTGAATTCTCGGAAGCTTCCCTTCACTCATTAAAAAAAGAATGGAGAATACATTTCTTATATTTGTAGACTTTTTCATTTCAACTCTTAAAACTATGAAACCAATTTGAAGCAAGTTCCAGCTTCTAGGAGCCTTAATTCAGCTTGAACAACTTATGTAAAATTATTCCAGTACTGTTATTGTTAAAAATGACAATAACTAATCTTTTCGAGCGTATCAGTTGACTAATAAAGGAACCAGGTATGACACATATCACTAAAAACGACAAACATTATCATCAAGAGTCGCCGCTGATGAAGAAAAAATCATTTAGGGGAGGGGGGTTCAGAAAAGTTTAATTTCTGACTTCGCAACAAATTGCCTCCTTTCGATGTCCCACCAAAGCTTAATGACGTCCCCTTCTTATCTTTCCGATACCATCTCCAGTTGTATACTCCGTTTGTCAAAACTCGAAATGCTGTTTTTATCAGTGCTCTTCTCGTCTCTCGGCAACCCCATCATATTGCTGACTTTTTCTCATTTTTTTTTGTGAGGGAACAGAGAGACGCAGACATTAGTGTCAACCCAAGGAAAAGTCCCACACCGATCCAAAATTGAAAAAATGACTGAAAGCTTTTTTTGTAGCGCTACCGATATTAGAAAAATCATATTCTCCAACTAAAGCTGAACAGCTCGAACAAACCCTAGAAGATCATCACCGACTCAAAAAAAGTCTAGAAAAGTATACAAGCATTTCAGACCCAAATCGAGCCCTTAAGAAAACCTAAAAGACTAAAAAACCTTCTACGACTCAAATCGATCCCAAGAGCTCATCTGAACTTGAATCAAGCCTAGAAGATCATCTTCAACTCAAGCCGAGCCTAGATCATCTCCGACAAAAATCAAGTATAGAAGATCAACTCCGGTCCGGATAAATCCTAGAAGATCATTTCCAACTCAAATCAAGCCTAGAAGATCACCTACGACTCAAATAAAGTCACAAAGTAGAAGGTCACCTCCGACTAAAATCAAGCCTAGATGAATATCTACATCTCGAACCGAATCCAGAAGATCCACTTCAAGTCGAATCAAGTCAAGAAGATCATCTCCGACTCAAATCAAGCCCAGGAAAACAGCTGCAACTAAAAGAAAGTCTAGAAAAGTCTGACCGCCTCCGATTCGGATCAAACCTAGATGAACATCTACAACTAGAGCCAAGCGCCGAAGATCCTCTCCAACTCGAATCAAGTCAAGATGATCATCTCCAACTCAAGCCAAGCCTAGAAGATCAACTTCGATTCGGATCAAACGTAGAAGATCATCTACGACAAAAGTCAAACCTAGAAGATCATCTCCGACTCAAATCAGGCCTAGGAAAACAGGTCACACTAAAATAAAGTCTAGAGAAATGTAAAATCGTCTCGGAGACAAATCAAGTAGATATGAACATCTACAGCTCAAATCAAGCCCAGAAGATCCTCTTTAACTAATCTTTTGGGCTTGACTCAGGTCGGAGATGATTTTCTGGGTTTGACTCGAGTCGCAGATGATCTTCTAGGCTTGATTTGAGTTGGAAATGATTTTCTTGACCTGATTTGAGTTGGAGATTCCAAGTCAAGAAGATCATCTCCAACTTAAGTCAAGACTAGAAAATTATCTCCAACTCGAATCAAGTCAAGATGATCATCTACAACTCAAGTCAAGCCTAGAAGATCACCTTCAGCTTGAATCAAGTCTCTCTCGTCAAGATGATCATCTACAACTCAAGTCAAGCCTAGAAGATCACCTTCAGCTTGAATCAAGTCTTGATCGAACCCAGACAAGAAGAACACGTCGGCCGAAGCATGCGACTTTGCTGAGGCTCAAAAAGAAAGCCACTTGTCATCACTCGGAGCCGCGGATCCCCCGGGGGACACGTCGAATGTGGTGTTGAAAGCTCGGTGATAGGCATCGCGGCGGCGGACGACGACACCCCCTGGGGTTGCGACCGACGACCTCCGACTTGTCGTCGCCGCGCCCGCGCGAGTTTCGACAAAACGTCGCGTTGGGAATTGGCCACGGTCGTTTTTCCGACCAAACAAGTGCGCGCCGCGGATAAATGGCTATGAGCGGCGGGAGAACATTGAGGAAATCTTCTTTTTGAGATTTTCTTGATGGGTAAACAATCTGGGATATGAAAAAAAGCTAGCTTGAAAAAAATGTCCTGATGACGTAACTTTTAAACGCTAAAAGTGACGTCATTGAAAAATTGCCTAATGACGTCACTTTTAAACAGTAGAAGTGACGTCATTAGGCAAGTTTCTAAACTTACACGTTTGAATAAGCGTCCTTTATGATCTATCTTTTTAATTTTTCTCTTTTTTTGGAGTATTTAGGAAAAAAACGCTTTTCTCTATAAGATAATAATGATGTTACATTTAAAAAAAAAATGAAAAATGACGTCATTTTCAAAAGTTTCAAAGCTACTCTATGCTTTTTAGGTACCTTTTTTTGAAAAAAAATATCTTTCAGGAGCTTCTGAAAGTGTTCGCATTTTCAAGAAAGAAAGCTTTATCAAAACGTCAAAATCTCGCGGTTGTCTCCCGAAATTTTTCGCCCCGGAAATTCGACGCATCAAGATTTGTCAACGGCTCTGTCAGCTTTTGTCGCATCGCATTACGTCGCGCCCGCGGGAGTCCCTCGGGTATTACGGTAGCTGTCAACAGAGCGACTTTTGTCAAGGGTATGCTGCCGAAAAAATGGATCGATCGCTTTGGGGCGCTAGTTTCGAAAAATCAAGATGGGACAAAGACAATTAGTTATGACGTCATTTTCGTGATTTAACAATGACGTCACTAAAAAAATGGAAAACAAAGGAGAAGAGAAATTTTTTTAAAGCCTAAAGTCTCTGTGCTCTCTCATGCTAGCACACTATTTACTTTTTAAATTACGAAATAATCAAAAAAATATCGAAAAAATAGAGAAAAGGAGCCCTCCTGGCCCTATTTTTCTCATCAGGATCGAAAAAATACCTCAAAAAGGGAAAGTTAAGACGAAGAAATCACCAAAAACAATCCCGAAAAATTGGGGATGCATCGTACAAATACGTTGATTTTCCCACACGGTCCGTGTTCTCAATTATTTTTTTCTCGTGCACGACCGAAAATTGATTTATTTTTGATTTTCTTTTGCTGGGCAGAGGTTGAAAGAAAAGGGGAAAGATGCAGAAATGGGCACGTTATCAGGAAAGGTTGGACATCGATTATGCTTCAAGTTGAAAATGCTGGACAACTGATAACAAATTGATAAAAATGTCTTTCGAAACCGAATCACTACACAAAACTCGTGAGGCTTGATCAAAACGACGTAAAAGGTGAGGGATTTTCAGAAGATTCTATACAAAATATAGCTTCTGAATAACTTTCTATAGTGAAATTGTCATCATAGGAAAAGCATAAATTAACATTTTGAAAAAACTGTGGAAAGTTAATAATTTTTGGCTTCACCCGACCACAAACGGCTTACGCCGAGATGGCTTTCAATTTAGTTGAAGCTAGCTCTGAGAGCTAATTTTTGGTCTAGTTGGATTTTTTTGAAGATTATCGGGTAAAATAAAAATGATGAAGTGTTTTTCAACCAAAAAAAATATCCAGTTATTATTCCAAATGCGACTAGAGCTGTCTGAGACGCAGAAAAACCCCTTCAAGTCGAGAAAATCTAGTAGAATCCGCAAGTTGAGCCATTCCAAGTGCGGCCAAGCTTCAAAAAATCAAAAAGGCCACAAAAATCTTCCAGAAAATTCAAGTCCAAAGTTTCTACAAGCCGCAACGCGTTGAACCATTCCAAATGCGGCCAAGATTCAAATGGTCAATCCAAATAAATAAAAAAGGTTACAAAAATCTTCCAGAAAGCTCAAATCCAACCGCTTCACGAGCCGCAACGCTTCGAGCCATTCCAAATGCGACCAAGCTCCAAGTGGCCAATCAAAAAAATCAAAAAGGCTACAAAAATCATTCAGAAAATTCAAGTATAGACGGTCTACGAGCCGCAACGCATCGAGCCATTCCAAATGCGGCCAAGCTCCAAAAAATCAAAAAAGTTACGGAAATCATTCAGAAACTTCAAGTATAGGCGCTCTACAAGCCGCAACGCGTTGAGCCATTCCAAATGCGGCCAAACTTCAAATCCAGATAATTTTAAAAGTTCCCAAAAATCTTCCAGAAAACTCAAGTCCAGGCGCTTCACGAGCCGCAATGCGTTGAGCCATTCCAAATGCGGCCAAGCTCCAAAAAATCAAAAAGGCTACAAAAATCATTCAGAAAATTCAAGTA